CAAATCACTAATAGAAACATTTGTAGAATAATAATAATCACTTTCTGATTCAGAATCAGTTGACAGCACAACAACTTTACGTAGGTCTAACAACATCACTGTAGCTAGAGTCACTGTCAGAATGATCCACAAACACATCCACATCAGAATCTTCACCTTCACTTGGAAGATCTGACAAATTATCAAATAGTTCAGTAATTATTTCATCTTCACTCAACATGCCATGTTTTCTGTAAGAAGCCATTTATAAAAATATGGGTATTGTAAGTAAAAATCAGAAAAATAATAAGCATCCGGAACAAAATAAAACACTCTGACTCCTTTTGAACACATCATTTTAATAAATGGCACACAAAGACACTCTGCACGAAACACGAGTACACTCGTGACCCATCTGCAACGTGTAAAAAACACAATACAATTTAAAATGTTTCAACCTGCTTTGCATGACTTTTCTTAAACTGATGATGAACTAAGTAGTTTGAAATGTTGTTACTTGTATTGTGTCTTTAAATAAGTTTTTTAGTACCCATATCAGCCACCTCTGCTATAGACTTACTTCAAGCAAGTTCTCTGACATCACGAAATGCTCAAAGTCAAGCCCTTACATCTAAAGAATAAAGTAATCACTGATTTAAAGTAACACCCTCGTGGTCTGGAAATGGTTATGGTACCTTACTTTATTACTCTATCTTTTTCCCATTTCTAAAAGTCCTGAGAATGCAGAATAAGTTTTTTTTTCCCCATCACATTGACTTACTTTGCTTCATTTACATTTGTGTGTGTGTGTGTGTGTGTGTTCAGTGCACGAGTATGTGTGTGCACGCACAAGCATGCAGCATGTGAAGTTTTAATTCCTGAAATTTTCATAAATTTTGAGTAATGTATATTTTATGTGGTACAAATGGGAGTTTGAAATTTAACATTTTATACTCACTGCACCCAGTTTCATCTGAACCATCTAGGCAATCTTTGTGACCATCACAGCGTTTTTGTGCCTCCAGACACTCTCCAGAATGGCAAGTAAGTTGGTCTGACCTACATCGAATCTCAGGTGAAACAGGATGTGTTGGAGCTACAGGTAATGTGACACTGTTAGTGTATGCTAACATTCACTAAAATTCATTATTATCTAGCCAGATACACTTAACTAGATATTTAAAAAATAAAAATATGCACTTTAAAGCAGAATTAATCAAGTTAATCATACTACAATAAGAATTACTGGTGCAAACACTGAAAGTTATTTAACTAAAGAAATGAATATTGTGGCTGAAAGGTACAAACCCAATGTTATGTATACTGTAGATGATTTAGATAAAGTAATATGCATCAAATGCTGCAAATTTAACTGTCCAGTCTCACTTCACAATAATATATATTAAACCATTTTATCCAGAACTGGAGTTCACAAGGAACAATAAACTGTTAAGTTTGCTAAACACGTACAATGAATTATTGTATGAAAAACTAATACAAGAATTTCCAGTAAAAGTAAAGTGTGTGTGTGATAATATGTCAACCACACTATATCTGTAATATATAGGTTCTTTTCTACGATACCACGGCTCCTCAAGACTGGCTGGGATACTATACACATAGTAATGACCACTCGACAACAATTGTTACATTTCAACTGGATTAAGTTGTGAAGTGTAATATTTTCATAAATTTTACTAATATCACAACATATCAGAATCAGAGTAAGGAATTTTATAACACTATTATTTATTTGAACACTATACATTATTTTCTTGAATTAACCTGCTCATTATTAAGAAAAAACAAAAGATATAGTTTTCCTATACTGAAGTATATTTCTGATAGGTACTTTCCTCCTCTCACAAGATTAGCTATTCTCGTCCAGTGCTGCCCTCTATGCACACATTTTTCTTTATGAATGCCACAAACCTTTTGATCCTCCCTATTGGAGTCAAATGATTCCAACACATCTTTCATGTAAATCATCATGCCTCACTTCTCCACCAATAGGAGTGTGAAATACACGACTCCCTCTATATGCATCTACCAAACTACCACTTTGAGGTGAGGTTTGGCAGAAAATGTAAGCGCCGGAGGAAAGTGGGGAGGAAGGGTGGGAAGTGTGAGAGGAGGGAAGTACCTATCGGAAATACATTTTCTGTATAGGTAAATTATAACTCCCAATACAGTACTTCCCTCCGCTTAAAAAATTAGCTAGAATCCCACCTTGATTAGGTGGAGGGACCGGTGCAAGGGAATACAGAAATACCCCCAAAAAGCATCTGAAGGATACCCCCTGGAAATGAGAGAGAGAGATCTGATGAGATAAACTGCACCACTTCTATACTCTTCGTCCATCCACGAAATGTGTAGTATATAAAGGCAGAAAAAGAAAGGATAACATCCAAGTAGGAGAGAACTCTGGAAGGACAGTGATCCTAACTACAAATATATAGATGTAACTGAATCCCACAAAGTATAAAAGTGGATGAAGCAATGGATGTGCCTCTAGGTTTAGAGTGGCTACGTTGCAATGGACCATACTTGGTAAGTCAAATACATCAAAAACCCATGCCGCAGATAACCAACATCCACACAGGGGTAAGATGAGGAGCATACCATCTTCACCTCAAATTCAAGAGCCTGGGGAAATCTAGAACTACTCCGACTCCTGTCCGGGACCCGACATACGATGTAGAAAGGATGTACGTATAATATAAATCAACTCCCCCAACAGAAAAACTGACCAGAATCATCCGAAACGCAATAACATCATTGGAATAAGGTACAACGGGAGATAGCAAAAAGGACAGATTCTGGAACAATCCCCCTTACCTCCACTGTGACCCACAAAACAGAAGGAGTATGATCGAGAGAGGAATATAGACAACCATAAACATGTGTGAGGACTCACATTGATTGGTTCTACTCTAAATCCAAAACCCAGCCATGGGGTACCAACAACCACGTGGGGGTAGGATGAAGGCTCCCAAATGAAGGGGTGAACTGCAATTTGGGATAGTACAACATCTACACCTGCAGGACACCACCGTCCTACTCTGCACTGAATGTTTAAAGCAATTTTTGTGTGGAACTCATTCAGGGGATGCCTCCACGGTCGACCACCCCAGCAGCTAGAAAATGGAAATTGATAAGGACTCCCATACTCCACTAAAAGAAATGGGGTGAGAACATGGTGAAGAGTCCGAAGGAACGTCGTCACCTGAGACAGTGCAATGGGTGACCAAGAAACTCTTATTTTGAAAGCAGACCATACTTATTTATTCAATACAAGACATAGCAGAGATGGGCAGCTATCCCCTTCTGCTTTACTCGTGCAGTCCTTGGGTGATACAGTCTGGAATGGGCAAGTTTATGAAGCAATTACATCACAATGTTATTTATCTAAAAGTGATGTTGTGGAACACCCCATCTCAACAGTGAGCATTGTGAAGCCATGGAAGATAAAGCATGAGACAACATGGCTGTGCAGTGTGGATTTCAAGTTAAAGAATACCTGGTCAGGCACCACTCACCTGAAAAAAACAGTCACAAGTGGAAGATGAAAACCCAACAAAGAAAAAACTGGGATATGGTGTAAATAGTGGGAGAAGAACATATTAGGTGTAGTCCACGTGCTTAACTGTAGGATTTCCTACAATGGCTGACGAAGACAAGATGTGAGGGAACAGGTGGTGTCACATCAGATGAGAAGACACCTGGAACATATTCTGGGAGGAAGAAGACAAGGAGGAATAATCCAATTGAATCAAAAGTCGAACCCAATTGGTGAGGGTAGAAGGGGAAAGATCCCAAATAAAAGAAAATTGCCAAGGGATAAAGAATTGGGAACAGGTATCATGAAAGGAAGCCAATCGGGCAATATAACAATGAACAGATGGACCGGACATAGAAGTCTATCTGGATTAGGATGAGAGTAGAGATGAGAAATATAAGGAAGGGAAATAGGCAAAAAGAAGGAATTGCCCTCTCTCACCACCAAGATCGTTGGGAGGTAGGAACAATCCAAATAAAGGAGAAGATTGGTAGGGTGGTAGAGCGTACATGAAATGTCAATGGTAAACAAATTGTACCTTCGGCATCCACAGGTTAAGAGAAGGAAATATGTTTTAAGGGAAAGGTGAAACATGTAACACGAGGACCACATTAATATCTCAGTTCAGAAAAGTAGGCCATCTGGGGGTGGGGCAAATCCAGAAGGAATGCATTAACATGGTAAGGACAAGGGAAGCAAAAAACTCGACAGTATCGAGAAAAAGGAAAGGTATGGGTTAAGGCAGCCTGATAACCCTAGAGCAAGGAGACGTAAGACCCCTTGTCAAAAAACTAGGTGAGAAACTCCGACACTCGAGCCATAGTAGATTGGTCAGTGAGGACTCCCAGAGTCGCAGATCAACTGCAGAACACTTTCCATTTGTGCCGATACATCTCCATTGAAGGAGGACGTATGGAATGAGCTAATAGGAATGCTACATGGGAGAAACCTGATCTCCTTGCCAAGGACCAGATAAAAGCCAGACATGAAGATGAAGGACATAAATGGCTGGATGTAAAACTGCTGACAGAGGTTGACGAAGAATGGAGGGAGACAAAGGAAGAGGTACTGGAGGAAAAATTTGCAGTTGTAATAATTGTGGAAACAACGGTTGAGCTGACCAATAAGGAGTGATCAGAAGGACTTGACACAGAGTGGTATGGATGAGAGAAATCACCTGATGAAGGAACTGGATAGGATGATTAACAAAAGAATTTGTGGGACCAATCTTGGCTGAAGGCATCGACAGCCAGAGCTTAAGGATGAGGTACTGGGGATCAAAAAAAGGGTAACTTGTGATTGAGGTATATGACAAATGCATCTTCATGGGGGAAACCCCACAGATTGCAAGGTCACCGGAAAATGAGGGGACCTAAAGACCACTCTGTCGGATATAGTTGGTCAGAGCAGGAGAGAAAATTTGCTAAGAGATTGAAAGCACCTCGAATGTGACATGCAACAAGATGAATATGGTGTGTGTGGGCCCAATATAGTAGATTCAACATTCAAAAACAGAGAGATCTCGACTGGGTGCCCCCTTGGTGATTGATATGTGCTACCATCATAGAATTGTCAGAATGAATCATCACCAGACAATGTCTGGAGAGAAGAAGGAAATGATTAAAAGCCTGATGGACTGCAAGAAGTTGGAGAACGTTGATACACAAAGACCTTAGTGATTGACCCATGCACTCCAGCCCTGAAGGTAAACATCCATGAAAAGATGTAATTCAAGAAGAGGAGGAAGTGGTATGCCTGCCTTGTCCAACCACCAATACAGATCGTCCATCAGGGTAGAAGGAAAGTTAACAGGAGCTGACAAGGGATCCCACGCAAGGTTCCATTGTGAAGAGCACAATGAAGAGACTGCATATGCATATGACTGAAGGGGACCAGTGACGTCACTGAAGACCAGATCCCCAAAAGCAATAGAACCTTGCGAGCTGAAAGGGCATGACAAAATAACAATTCCATGGAATGAAGTTGTAGAGGAGAAGGTAGGGCCTAAATGAGATGATTGTCGAAAAAGACAAACAAGTGGATGAAATATTGGGTAGGTCAGAGGAAGGACTTCTCCAGCTCGATTAACCAGCCTACCCAAGCAGCCACTAGAAGGAGCTGATGAGCATAGCCGGCCAAATCCAGTTTGGAATGAGCAGAGAATCCAGTCATTCATTTAATGTTGGAATCACAACTCCAAAGCATGAAGATGGTGAACAAAGGTTCTGACCACCCAAGAGAAAACATAAGGGACAGAAGCAAGCCCAAAGTGTAGGGCACAAAATTGATAAACCACCATGTGATGGACGAACAGAAGATACGGATGAGACCATGGTGATATATGGATGTGGAGATAAGCATTGGTGATGTCCATCTTGGTCATCCATAAGCCCAGAGAAAATGCCCACCATAGGTGAGAAATCCCTCCATGATAAAACGGGGCAGTTGAACAAAGCAATTGTTAGAATTTCTTGGGAACAACAAAGATTTTGGAATAAAAACCTGGTGAAGGATGTAGAACAGGTTTGATGGCCTACTGAGATAGTACTTCTTGAATTGCCTTCGACAAATGATGGCTGATCATGGGATCTCGAGGCAGAGGGAATGAAAATGGGTATAGGAGACACGGGAGATGGGAAAAAACGGGATCACAATTCCTTCCTATAAAACTTGAAGAACCCAACAATCCCTAATGAAAGAACACTAGTGATGTAGAAAATTGGCAAGTAATCACCAATACTTTTAGCGACGTGATGAGTGTAGCAGAAAACGACGAGACGAGGCATCCCAAGAAGAAGAGGCAGGTAAGGGTTGGGGAGGGACGGGAAGCGGTAATAGATGCCATATTGGGCTCCGAGTAAGATAAATGGGCAACAAGGTTGGAAAGGGTATGCTGTTGTTATCCTGATGCAACTCGTGATTCTAAAGACTCAGGAATCATGTCAAAGACGTTTCGACGCAGAATTCCAGAAGATAAGATGATGGTAAATGGATGCGAGTTAAGGTCACATGACGACCTAAAAAGTCCCAAAAACAGAGAAACCACATACGTAAAGGCAGAGCCAAAGACGACAAATAAGTCCAAGTGGAGGAATAAAAGGGGGAGGATGCCCCCAGAACACCCCTCAGAATTTGAGTGGAGAGCCTCAGAAAGGAGATGGATGGTAGAGAAATACCATAAAAGAGTTGAGAGTAAGACAGAGGCAGGAAAATTGAGCATGGGTCAGACTTACAGGAGATTCGGGGGCCGCACACCAAACTGGCAAAGTGGAACCTGCTGGTCCAGAAAAGGACAGTCTGCATGATGATATGTAATAGCAAACTGAGCTGAAGCTCATGAGGGGCAAGACATGCCATTCCCATCACTTAATTGTGAGGCAAATTAGTCAGCATGTACCTGAATATCCGGAGATGGGGGGGGGGGGGGCGAAATAGGGATGGGAAGATTGGTCATGTAGTAAGGAAAGACATGGTTCATAGGAAATAGGGGAAATGGATAAAATGTCACATACCTGAGAAATTACATCCAAAAAAGACTATTAGGCCTAACTGACTACTCAAGCAGAGCATGGGAAGGCATGGCAAAATCAGGAGGTAGAAATAGGTGATACAAGTCCTCATCCACCAGAACAGGCTCAGCTTGTTTGGAAGGAAGTGGGGAGAGTTCCAGGGACAGAGGCTGACCCAGGTGACGTTGAGTTTCCCAGCAAATAAGTGTGGATAAATCTCCTGAGATATAGCGCTAATCGCAGGTGCAACCCAAAAGTAGTAACACGAACTTCAGAATTCATAATAAGGAAGACTGAACAAATAATCAAAGGTATAAATAACAATGAAAGTGTAATAAACTGGGATTAAAGTGAAGTTAAAACACAGTCTTAACAGAAACTAGAAGTGAAAATAAGTGACAAACACTTCGTGAGTATACTAAAGACGAGGATGAAACTTTAAGTAAACAAAAAGGAACATGTTCAAGCACAAGCACTGCCAAATGAGAAGTGATAGTTTGGTAGAGGCATATAGAGGGAGTCACACGCATCACGTGATATGTCACGCTCCTACTGGTGGAGAAGTGATGCAAGATTATTTACAAGAGAGAGATGTCAGAATCATTCGATTCCAATAGAAGGCTTGTGGCACGTGTAAAGAAAAAATTTCCATGTAGAGGGAAGCACTAGACAAAAATAGCTAATATTGTGAGAGGAGGGAAGTACCATATCTGAAACCAGCAAGCTAGACTTCTTGATTTCAGAGTACATCAAGTGACCACAGAGTAACTTAATTCAGTATATTATTTACCTTCTTTAAGAAATGCAATTATTTCAGAAATAAAGTTTTTACATCAAGGTCCTCAGAAGTATTCGAGGGTTTTAGCATCCTTATCTTAAATTATAGAAACCTACCCCCAAGAGACCGAAATAAGAAGCCTTCAGGTGAAATTGTGAATCTGTCAATGGTGCCACGATCAATAGCTCTCTTAACAACGTTCTTGATTTGCTCTTCATTTCTGTTGTATTGTGATCCAATATCCATCTGACATTTTACACCTAATTGTTCTGAAGGTCTATAACAAAATAATAAACATATAGCTCTGCTTTGTTCCTCCAATATTAGCTTTATATTTCAGCAATCTCATACATACAATTAACACTTTAAAATCAACTTTATCTTTCCAAGGATACCCAGCCTCCTCAGTGTTAAATACAAGCTCAATTTCAAGGTGTAACATGCAATCTCACTTTCAGAATTAAACATAACTGCTACATTATTTTAAAGCAATGTGATTAATGTAGAGATAAGTACTGATGGTTCATCTCATCTTTTTGATTTAATATCCACAATTTAGAACCGTCCATTGTGTTTACTTTAATTTCAAATATTTTCCACAAACTTTCAAATATCTGACATACTTATTTTCATTATACTCCTTAGATAAACGTTACCATAATAGCAAGTTTTGGTTATTGCGACTTTATGTGAATTATATCAGTATAAATATGTGAATATAGTATCTGCAAGTTCGTACACTATTTTTAAGTCTAGAATCTTTACGTTTAGACTTCATTGTATAGAATATCAAAAACAAAAATTATTTAATGCTGAGATCGAAAAAAATTAGTGAAGTTGACGAGGATCAATGGCAAAGATTAATTATAATACACTAACAAATTATAAAACATAAGATTCTGTTAAATACTTGAGTTTTAGTGATATAAATGCTACAATGCCAAAACAAGTACCAAATGATACATAAGGGTTTTATTAGAAATACAGCTTAAAAACACCATCATCACCACGGATTTGATTTATTGAATTTTGTTCAAAGCTACACAAGAGCTATCTGCTCTAGCTGTTCCTAATTTTAGTGACAGACTAAAGGGGAAGCAGCCAATCAAAACTACCCACCACCAACTCTTGGGGTACTCTTGTAAGATCAAATAGTGTTTGTTTGTTTGGAATTAAGCATAAAGCTACACACTGGGCTATCTGTACTCTGCCCACCACTAGTATCGAAACCCAGTTTCTAGCATTGTAAGTCCAGCACGCTAACCACTGGGTCATACTCTGTTCCACAGCTTTGAGACTTAAAAACTTGCCACAGAAATAACAAAACTTCAATAATATATACATACACATTCTGTAAAGAAGTTCAGATGAACAAAAGCATTGTTATTATTTTAACAATAAACAGTAGTGACGTACCGACAAAACTGTAAAATAGGCTTGGACAGATAAAACTTAATGTCAAAATTTAGCCCAAATTGTGACTTTCTGTATTGGGGTCACAAAGGTCAACTACTGTTCCGATACCAGGCTGTACTACATTTTCTATTCCTTTTAGCTTTAAACTGAAATTCACACAATATTTTTCTCTTTAGTTCTTTGGATTGCTCAAAGCAAGTTTATAACTAACTTTCCCCAGAGTCTAATTGGATCAAGTAGAGATTGACTGATTCTTTTGCAGGAATAACAACATCCTTTTTATTAATCCCTTTTATTTCTACCTTGGTGGATTACACCAACCACATGACCCCAAAGCAACTATCACAGTTTCCATACTACAACTTTTAACATGCTTTGTGTATATTCACAAAAAGTTTCAAGCTGTCTGTACACAAAAATTAGAGTTTCTCTCCATTGTATGACTTAACATTACAAAATGGATTGTAACAAAGTGGTTAAGCCCAACAATCTTTTTAATATAATGTACTCAACCCTCTGTAAAACTGGAAGATAAATTATTCAAACAAGGAAACACATTCTTACTGCTCTTCTTTGGATCTCTGGCTTTTAATACCATACAAGATTGTTAATGCAAATATTTTTTTTTTTTATTTCCTTGATTTATATAACAAAAAATAAATAAATAAACTTACCTCAGAGAAACTACAGTAACTGCTTGTTCCCCAGAAATATCTTGATACAGTTCTTGTAAAGCCAATTGAATTTCAACTGCTAATTTCTTAAACTCAAGACTGTTTCTGTCAGAGTATTCATTTTTGTAGTCAATGTTGGTAAAAGTGAGTGCCATCCGGAAGTACACTGAAAATTTTTTATCATTCTAAAGCTTTAACACTGCATTGTTACATCTTACACAAACATTAAGCAAACAAATAAAATTAAGCAGCTGGAAGAAAAAGAAAAATGGCAATGGATCTACTGAAACAAAGTTACAATAACAGAAAATAATGTCACAAAAATTCTAAACAATTTATTGGTTCTAAAGTCAATTGTATTTTTAATAAATGCATCACTTTTTTTCTTTTTTTTTTTATGAACAATAAACTTACATGTACAGTAGAAGATATTGAGGTACAGAAAAACAAAGAAGTAAATGACAAAGGAATAAAGAAATTTTGGTTACATACAAACATCTTTAAAATTATGTAAACTGTAACAAAGAAGAAGAACCTAATAGCAATATAGAAGAAATGCACATTTTACCATATGAGGAAAAATATATGCTCCTCACGTTGGTAGACACTGCTACTTCTGAAAAATCACTTAAAATGGAAGAAAATTCCTCATGATTAAAAGATTACCATTGTAATCCTTATTTTTAAAATGCAAGACCAAGGCAGGACTTAAGAAATATCGTTTTTTATAGTATGACTTACAAAAATAGCAAAAAGTTAGAATCCAATGAAAGATTTTGTTTAGAAAAGTATCTTCAAGGTTGGCACTTAACAAATAATGTTCAGCATATTCGTACAAAGGGAGTCTTCATGTTTAAACCAAATTAATAACTGTTGATAATGTTTCAATTTGAGGGTATTGATTTTAAGTGCATTTGGTAAGATGCCTCATAAAAAGTTAATAATTAAGTAAAATTCTAATGGTATTGGTGATGAATTTAAAGTATTATCCAAGCAATCAAAAGGATCAAAGCCTTTAGCTTCTTTGAGCGGAATTCTGAAGACAAGAGGATGAGACGACACAAGTTCAAGGTTTGGAAAAAAGACACCACATTTAAGAGTTTGTGAAAATAAGTTCAGTGTTTACTTTCCTTCTTTCTTTGATATGGATGTGCAATAGCAGCCTTGAAAGAACACATGATCCATTGTTGTCTTTATTTTACATTACAAAAAAATTGCTTTGTGGCATAAAGCAGGCAAGTGTGATAGGTACTTTCACAAATAAGAGATTAGTGAAATACTGGGATAAAAAGACCATCACATGAGGACAGGTTAAGATCTACAAAATTGTTTTTCTGGAGTAAGAGGGCATCAAACTGAGGTGTTTAACATTGTGAAGGGAATTGATAGTTTCTATGCATCACCTCTTGTTGTTGTTTTTTGTACTCAATGAATAAAAGTGGTAGGACTAAGGGACACTGATATAAATCTTCAGCAACAACAGTTTTCATTTAAGAAGTGGGTGGCCTTTTGGATGTGAATGCAGAACATTTAAAGAAGTTTAAAACCTTGACAAATCCTTAAATGATAAGGGCTGGCTAAAATATATTTTTTAAGTTTAGATTAGTGGATCAGACAGCATAAATTAACCAGCAGGTCCCTTGTTGTCTTTAAATTTTGATTTTATCTAGGTTTTTTTTTTCTTTTTTAAATGATCAATGATACCCATTTAAACAGTATTTTATGCAAATTTCCTGTTATTAAGATTCTTGGTAAGTTTAAAATGTTTAATAAGTTGGAAAATGTACAAAAAACAAAAATGAATAGAATGATACGCTTGAGATATGAATTTTTGGGAAGAGCTCATCTATATATATACGAGAAGAATCATTGTGAAGAAAGTGAAGGAGTTATGAACTGTAGAAGAAACAAAAAAAAAAGCATAAAATCTGAAATCCTGCATCTAGATTACTCTTAGGCAAAATTACTTCTTTGCCAGGGGTACAGAGTTTTAGAGCAATTTATCTTAGGCTGTGTGTGTGTTAGAAACAAAAATTGTTGGATGAGTTAATAAAAGTGAATATTGAAAAGCATTTTTGTTAATTGGTTGGCTTGACTTATTGGCTGTTCAGCTTGATAGTGTGATGCTAGCTAGTTGTGCACAATTTATATGATAAGTATGTTCCTATTGGTTAGATACAATTTAATTTACTATACTTATTCTCAGAATGCCCTAAACATATTTCAAAGTACATAAATTTAAATATATAAAAATAATCCATTATCATAAAATTACTTTAAATTCTTCAATTATAATACTGGCAATTTATTATCTTACCAGGTGAATCTCCATCACCACTTGCTGTAAACAAGTGTTCACTATCTGAATCTGATATTTCTCCAACTCCAGATGGCTGACCTTGGATATCTGAATCTTCATCATCATTATCATACTCAAAAAAGCCCAGAAATCGCTTCTCACGTCCCTTAGATTGTACAAGAGGTTTAGTAAGTGGATCTACTGGATCTGAGGTTTTGAATGTGTTTAAAGTATCTTCAAAAGTGAGGTCATTGTCCAACTAAAAAAGGAAAAACATAATTAACGTACCTTGTAAAATAACTTAACTTTGATATGTTGGAAAATTAAATGCCACTTAATATTTAAAGTGTAAATAATTTACACAATGTGAAATATAAAATTAACTTTACCAAACAAAAAACAAAGTTGGTTTTGTTATCCACCACACCTTAATATGACAACCTCTCCATCTCAGTTATTCTACTAACTTTGATCTCTTTCCAACAATTCAATGTCCTTTCTAAGGTAAAGAGTCCTATTTACCCTATCCACTAACAACAACACACTGCTTTGATGGTTTATGAAATTAAACAATAAGAATACCAGAATCCTTTTTTTTTACCATAACATAGTTAAAGTTCTTCAAATCAAAATTATACTGTTGCGTCAGTGAGTCACATGACTGATGTGACGCCACGTTTCTAGAACTATCCCGTATCTTGGCGAATGCTCTAGTAATTACTAGATGGAG